CCTGTAGGTATGCTGCTGGTTCTTCCTCCCCAGGTGCAGCACCCTGCACTTGTCAGTGCTGAATCCCATCCTGTTCTCGTCCGCCCACCCCTGTAACCTGTCTAGGTCCAATTGCAGCCTATTGCTCCCTTCTAGCGTGCCCACATTCCCCCACATCTTAGTGTCATCAGCAAATTTGAACGGTGCTATTTACCCCCTCATCCAAGTCACTGATGAAGAAGTTGAACAGTGTGGGCCCGAGGACCGAGCCCTGGGGGACCCTACTGCCCTCATCCCTGCAGGTCAAAAATGACCCATCCACCACCACTTTCTGGGTGTGGCCCTCCAGCCAGTTGGCAGCCCATTTGACTGTGTGGGTGTCGACACCACAGTCCCCCAGTTTCTTAATGAGAACGGGGTGAGAGACAGTGTCGAAGGCCTTCTGAAAGTCCAGGAAGACTACGTGCACTGCTACCCCTGCATCTAAGGATTTGGTGATCTGGTCATAGAAGGCCACTAGGTTGGTCTGCCAGGACCTGCCTCTAATGAACCCGTGTTGGTGGCCCCTAAACATAATCTCCCCTGCTGGCCCCTTGTGGATATACATCAGAATAATTTTCTCAAAAAGCTTGCCCAGGATTGAGGTAAGACTAACTGGCCTATAGTTTCCCGGGTCCTCCTTCCTCCCCTTTTTGAAGATGGGAACCACGTTGGCCCTCTTCCAGTCCTCTGGCACCACACCAGAGCACCATGAGTGCTCGTAAAGCCATGCCAGGGGTCCCGCAATGACCTCAGCCAATTCCCTCAGCAGTCTGGGGTGGAGATCGTCTGGACCAGCTGATTTGAATACATCCAGTTCCTCCAGAAGTTCCCTAACTAGTTCCTCACTAACCCTTGGCCTAGGTGCATATTACTTGTTGTCTGCACAACTAAACTGTTCTTCCCCTTAATCTGCTGCAAAGAATGTTTCAATCATAGAAAAATAAAGCTGGGAGTGATCTCAGGATCTCATTTAGTTCCCACCACCTGCTCAAGGTAGAAACATCTCTGTCTGAAACTATCTCATCCAAATGTTTGTCTAACATGCTCTTAAAAACTTCCAATGATGGCAACTTCATGGTTTTTCTAAGTAATCTGTTTCAGCGCTTAATCAACATCATCATTAGAAATTTCTTCCTAATATCCAATCTAGATCTCCCTTGTTGCAATTTAAGCCCATCTTCCACTGTTTTAAAGCCCATTCAAATCACATGGTCATAAAGAAGGCAACACTTGAATTTAATGTGATCTCGTTTTGCACAGTGACTGCAGAGTCAGGCTAAAAATTCTATATAATTTTATTTGTATATGTAAGTACCATAAACGTGCACAATGTGGCACGTCAAAGGTACAGGGTCAGTTTGAACTCAGAATCACCTTCATTTCTGAATTCTTATGTCTGGCTGGCAATCTGACCTCATTCTGTTTCTAAAAACCTCTGAGTGAACCCAATTCATGGGAATCAACGCAGTTTGTTACAGCAGAGCAACCAAGCAAGAAGAGATTTGCTGCAGCATGGAATCAGAGTGAAACGATCTATTAATTAATTCAACACTTCCTTTCTAAATGGGCCAGGTTTCCCAAAGCTGGTGTGCAGTTAGTTACAGCTCACAGTGCCAGGTCTCTTCAGTGAAGACTCCCTATGTTTCTGTCAATTCCTTCTCTTGGGATTTTCCTCTGAATGGAGGTGGCTGTAGTTTATCTCCAGGAGGCCTGGGCAGAGGCAGCCTCTCAGAGGAGACATGGAATCAGCACATTTCCACATCGTCTTCCTTCCAGGGGCCTTACACTCTTCAGCTACCAGTGGACTCTCACATGTTGTGTGGGAGACTTCAAGTTGTTTTCCCAAAATTGGGCTCCAAAACCGTGAGCCTCCCCTCAGCAGCCATGCTGTACCCTACCCAGCACCTGGATTAGGCCCCATGGGAGTGTATATAGTGACTGGCCACATCCACATGAGGAGCTACTTTGCTGCATGGCATGTTCCTTGGGCCTTGCATATTCAGAACAATAACATCCACCTTTGTGTTTTGTCTTTAGGTTAAAAACAGCAGTGGTTGCAACAAAAATAATGACTGTGTTGCAGTGTTTTGCTGGGCTACCAGTATGCAGACATGAGCTTTACATGTTTAATAACTTAGAGCAGGAGTCAGCAATATTTTTGGGCAGAGAACACCTGTAACCTCAGCTTGTAAGATGTTGGCATGCCGGGGCAGACGGTGGGGGAGCTATGAGGTTTTGGATCGTTTTTGTGGAAGCGCAGTCCCGGCCCTTTCCCTGCCATCTGCAGGGGTGCATGTGCACCTGCCACCAGCAACAAGTTGGGCTGGGGCTCTGTGGACCCTGGTCTCCCTGCCACCTGCTGTGAGCAGCCCAGTCTCTATGGCAGGTGACAGAGGCCTTCCCATAGCCTGGACTGGCTGTGGCAGGCAGCCAGGAGGCTGCAAGCAGCTGCACTAACCCCGGCTCGACTTGGTGGTGGCGGCGGGTGCATGCACACCTCAGCAGATGGTGGAGAAGGGGCTAGGGCTGTGCTGTCACAACAAGGATGGGGCCCCACATGGCTCCCTGGCTGTCTGCCCAGAGGCACACATGCCAAAGAAAGTGTTTTTTACATGCCATGCTCTGGCACATATGCCAGGGGTTGCTGACCCCTGGTTAGAGCCTTATAACTCACTTGTGAAAGAGCTCTTTTACATGTAGGCATCACAGAGCATTTCAGTCATTTGCCCAAAGTTATGTATTTAGTCAGGAGCAGTCTGCAGAACTGAACCCCGGTGCCTGGACTGCAGCTCTGTTCTCTTACACAAGCCAACAGCCAAAGGCAGCAGTTACTTTAGTACTTTAGTATTGTCTTTCAAACAAGGAAAAGTATGATGGTAGCTGATTCTGCAAGGCCTTACCCAAGCAAATATCTCATTTAAAGCTCATTTATCTGGGGAAATTCACATGCAATATTACTATATGCTACCGTGTTTTATGAGTGCCTGACAGTTGACATTTTTTTGCCTCCCAGGTGTCAGTGCAATACCACTGGAAAAAGACCATGTTGAAGAAATGGTAAGTAGCCATAGCTCACAATGTGAATTCATCATATAGCTGTCAAAAAAGTGCTGACCAGGCGTAACCACCTGGAAGAAATTCTGTGTGCAAAGTTTTCTCACAGTGCTGACTCTGATACTAAGTATGCCTTTGGCATCCCATTTTCAAAAACCTCACTGAAGCCCCACTGACTTTCAGTAGGCTCCTTGGGCTTCTAAGTGACTTAGGTGCTGTTAAAAATGTTACTGTGTAAATGTTAAAAAAATATTAGACGTGCTTATTTAACCAACGGGAGCATAGCTGAATCACGGAGGGTGATACTGCAAACTTAAAGCAGCTTATGAATTTAATGTTGCTGCCAGGTGAAATAATGAAAATGGATTACTGCTGTAGCAGGGGCCCTATCTGTGGGGAACTCCTCAGACTACCATCTCTGGAAGGAGGTGATCCGCACCCCCATAATAAATAAATGGGAACAGATGCAGGAATCACCTGCCTGCTGGCCACCAGTTTTTCCTCAGTGGCTTTTTTTTCCTCATGGGAGAGGGAATCTGCCACAAAAATGTTTTCTTCTCTCCTCACAACTAAACCTCCATGATGGCACTAACTTATGGCAGGGGTGTCAAACTTGCTTCCCCTCCCCACCCCAGGCCAGATCCAGACTATGGGAATCCTTGAGGGTCAAACCCAGACCCCCTTTGAGTGGCAGTAGCAGCAGGATGAATGACCTCAGGGAGCTGTGGGGGATTAATGCAGCTGTGGGTTCCCCTGCTTCTTCTAAAAGATGTCCCCAGTGGGCTCCATACCTTGGATTTCAGGGGTGGGCCCCATCCCTTTTTTTCTCACTCCTGAATTCCCACCCATTCCAGGAGCCCCCAGGGGCCAGATCATATAGCTCCATGGGCCAGATGCGACTCACAGGCCATATGTGTGACACCTCTGATTTAAGGAAATACTGATTTCCTGGACCAGAGTGAGATTTTTGGTTGCGAATCATTAGCTCTATGTGAAACTTGAACTAGTCAGAAGCCAGCCACCCCTGTACAGTTTCTGTGGCTAGGCCTCCAAGTTCTTAAATGATATTATATTATTTTGTCTCAAAAAGCTATTTTAGATTGTTTTGTTTAAAAGTTTTCCATATTTTATTCGTTCCTCCCTTCTTGCAAGGACTGTAGAGTGCAACTCGCGGTACTAAAGAGCCAGATTAAAATTAAAGGAAAGATACAAGGATAAAATCTTAACATATTTATATGAGCTATTTCAAATAGTTTGTGAAATCTGTGGGCTCTACAGAATACAAAATCAATTACTGGCACTCAAAGGAGGGATGCCATTTCAGGCACATCCCTGTGCTTAGCATTTTTCATGGGCTTCCTCCAGGTTCCCTGAATCGCTCTTTGGAGGTGCCTGTGCCTTCACATTCTCTGTATAGAGAGCCTAGGTGTTTAACACTGAATTGCTCCTCCATTGGCTGTCTAAGGATCCTAAATGCTTAACCCTGTCTGTTTTGGATTGCTCTCCAAACAAGCACCTAATTTATAGGCATTGTAACACCCAAGTAGAGATGGCCAATCTGGATCTGAACGTCAGTAGCAAATCTGAGTGTTGGACACAAATCTCTACTTAAACCAATAGACACATCCCCTCTCTTTCTGAAATAATTTCAGAATAGCCAGCCCTTGTAGCTGCAGATGTTGCTTTCTTTATTATTTGCGTGAGTAGAGCTTAGTAGATGAGATCAGAGTCGTAGTGTATTACAGTCCATTATGTAAGTAGACAAAAGATAAGAGAAGGGAAGACTAATGATTTTACAGCTGTAGAACTGAGGTACAGAAGGATTGAAGTCACACATGAAGTCTCCAGGACTGCTGGGAAATGAGTCCTTGTCCAGTGCCCTAACCACAAACGTTCCCTGCTTTTTCATGGTGCGTGGTTAGACATATACAGTAGGGCTATGAGAAGCTTCGGTCCCTGACTCAATTCAGAGGAGATTCAGCCTGATTCGGTGGCTGAATCTCCAAATCCAAATCAAGTCAGAGGACCCTTTAGTCTCTCCAAATCAAATTGGAACCCTCTGAATTGATTCGGAGAGATTCGGAAAGATTCGGAGAGTTGGACATAGACACAGCTTTAAATGTTTTTTCTACATACCTCTAGGTAGCAGGGGCTCATGATTGCTGCAATGCTGGAGTGCATGGAGTGTCCCATAGAAGCGTGGGGTGGGGGCAGTCCCTAGCGCGCTTGGCAGCAGACCTGGAAGTGGACCAGAAGCACTTCCTGGTCTGCCGGGGAGTGTGCTAGGGGCCTCCCCCTGTGGCCTGCCCCCCCCGGCTCAGCAACTGGTGCCTCCTGGGTTTGTGGTGGGCACCTGGGGTTCCCCTGCTGATTGCTGAACTGGGGAGGTGTGGGGGGGGGGGGCCCAGCATGCTCCCTGGCAGACCCGGAAGTGGATTGGAAGTACTAATGGTCCACTTCCAGATTCTCTGTCAAGCATGTGGAGGGCCCCCCCACACTTCTGCTGGACACTCCATGCACCCCAGCATCGCAGTGATCACGAGCCACGCCTGCGACCTCAAGGTACATAGAAAAATCTTTTAAAACTGTGTCTATGTCTGAATTGCTGATTCTCTGAATCAGCATTGAATCTTCAGATTTGGCCTAATCAAATCAGGGACAGTGATCAAAATCAACAAATCAAATCACTGTCCCTGATTTGATTAGGCCAAATCTGAATCCAAATCAAATAGGGCTCGCTTCGCACACCCCTAACGTGGTTCCCATCTTCAAAAAGGGGAGGAAAGAGGACCCGGGGAACTACAGGCCAGTCAGCCTTACCTCGATCCTGGGCAAGCTGTTCGAGAAAATTATTCTGGCACGCATCCAGGAGGGGCCAGCAGGGAACGGCATGCTC